AAAAAATGCGGAGTTGCTCCAGCAACAAGGACATGTCAACATCCGTCGCGTGGATTTCCAGTGCAACGAAGCTCAGTGTCTAATGCGGCAAGAAACAAATTCAGCAAAGGAGACCTCCTTCTCTTTTGTGAGGGGCTTCACTAAATTCGGACCTCGGCACCAGCGGATCTTTCTCAGAAAGCTCACAAACTATAGCTTGGTCATGATCAACTTGTCCACTGCAAAGTCCAAACGATATTCGCTTGATGTCCTCTATGCTTTGGAGTTTGCAAGCGGTCAGGCCAAACCAACTCAAACCATTTCAGGCCTTTGATGAGATCAAGGTTTGCAGTTTCAGTCTGGGGCAAGGGCAAACGTAGTACCTTAGCGCCGCGGCATGTTCAAGCAACGAACACATATGACCAAATCATACAAAATCGACAAAGTCATTCTCTGGGGTTCAAGGGAGGACCTCCTTCTTCTGGCAAAGGTACATGCTTCTTCTCTGCAGGATCGGCCGAAAGTGTTCCTCAAACTTGCAGAGTTTGCCCACGTTGACCGATCGAAGAGGTCCTGGACCACAAGGAGTTGGATTGGTCATCACTTTTGCCTTGTAGCTGTCGAGCAAGGCCTGCAAAGGGGTTGCAGCATCGTGCCTTCTCTGTAGCAGCCGTAGCGCTAATACCACGAAGAAGTCAAAAACGAAGGTTGCGATATAGTACCACCAGGGAATGTGAATCAGCAAGGCCATAGCAATCATTCCTGCAATAGAGACTCCCATCCATAGGACCACAGGTATGCCCAAGAAAACGCTTCCAAAAGCTTCTGCCAAAGGCGTTGGTCGAAAGGTGCCGATGGAGGTTTCCGCACGCTTGGCCAAGGGACAACCAGGCTCTGTATAGATCTGAAGCTGGGTTGGAGATGTCTTTTTCACGTACATGATGCTACTAGTACTAGTGCTACTACTACTACTACTACTACTGGAGATGGTCGGAGCACTCTTAGTCTTACCATCTTCCGTGGTGCTTTCAGTGCTTTCCTGCAGCCAACTCACACCTGTATCGCGAAACACCACGGGGATGTATTTCGAGGAGAACTGATGCTTTTGCCGGGTGGTGAGAATCACCGCTTCGTCCGTGGGCAGCCAGGACACATCAGCAATGTGACGCTTGATCCCTACGAAGAATGGCAGCAGCCACATGAAGAATGCCGCAAAGAATGTGAACACCACTGCGCCTGCAAGCTTCGCCCAGGAAGGAATACAGTTCGTTTGCTGCTCGTTGGGTGCGGTAAAGCCACCACAGGTCTGGCAACCCGTGAGCGAGTCCTTGCTAAAGGTGCCTGCCTGACATCGGTTGCAAGCGGTGCGGTCCTCATCAGTTGTGAAGCCTGCAGGACACACTTCGCAGAAGGTTTGTCCAGTGTCGCGCTGATAACTACCGGGCTCACATGGTCGGCAAGAAGCATCCCCGGCGGCTGCGTAAGTGCCCCGGGAACAATACGAACAATATTTGGCATCGTCCCTCGGGGCAAAACCTGGTGGGCAAAATTCGCAGGCAGCTTGGCCATAACTGGCCTGGCGCATCCCTGCCTCACACGGTTGACAAAAACCTGAGCCATTGGAAAACATGCCAGGCTCGCAGGCTTGGCATCGACGGTTGCCAGCAGCCTCCTTTCCATAGCCAGGCAGGCATAAGGTGCATCTCAGTGTTCCGTCTAATTCTCGAGATAACTCCGTGCCCGAAGGACATTCACCCTCATTGCAATCCTTGGTCGCCCCGTGTTCCGTCTCTGTTGCCCCGGCTGAGACGCGGTCGGGACCCGATGAGCAGGACTTGACCCCGGTCTAGGCCAAAGGAAGTGAGCGTTTGAGCGTTACGCCCGGAGCCCCCTTAATAGCTGGCTTTTGGGAAGACTCAGCACAAAAACCACAACATACAAAAGACTTCTCGGCCAGGAAAAGGAGTCTGCACCGAGAAAAGGCCTGTTGCACGAGCAGCTCCCATTGCCCAGTGGCTGGATGGCCGTGAGCCCTTGCTGTCTCAGAATGTCTGCAGATAGCCTCAGCATCTGCTGGAAGAAAACAATGGCCCATCAGTTCCCCAAAGAATGGGATGATCAATTTGCAGGGATTTCCGGGATTTCACTGCTCCAAACAATATCAACATTGCCTTCCTCAAAATAGCCCCCAAAAATGTTGTTCAAACCTTTCAAGTCACTGGTCATCGAAGCAACGCCCCTTTCCATTGCATGGGCCAGCCTCTGACCTGACTCCTGGGCAAAACGTGCACGTGTGTCCAGTCTTCGAGCTTCTTTGAACCGTGGCGAAGCCGGGAAGGCATTTCGAGCCTTAGCCGTGGAGTGCCGCGAGTGCCGCGACACAAGAACATGTAAAGAACTATAAGAACTCATTGGAACACTCCAAGGACATGCCGTGCTTGGGGTTAGCAAACTGCACGTTACGAGCCATGGCACAATCTTTGCCGTCATGACCTCCAAGGCATTGACAAGCCCCGGATCGGCAGAACCCTGCGTTGACAAAGCAAGGATCTTGAAGTTGACACGCTCCAAACTTGAAGTATTCCCATTTGTTTGCCGTCCCAACAAGCACTTCAAGATCCCCATCACCATCCCAATCACCAAATACAGGACCAGTTGGCCCGCCCAACGGAAAGTGCACATCGAACTCCTCTTGGTGCACAAATGCATGTGAAGAGTCTTGCCGAAATACTGATATCTTGCCCACCGCTGTGCCGACAAGCATGTCCAAGTAGCCGTCAGCATCCAAATCAGCAATTGTTACAACGGCCTCCCCCCCTCCGAATTGAACTGCACGAAAAGGACTGTCAGCGTCAGGCACAATTCGGAACTCGTTGTCTTCTTGAAGCGCGAGCAGGATGACTGGAAATGTAGGACATAAAATCAAATCCCAATCTCCATCACCATCCCAGTCGACGATGTCACCACTGAATACGGACCCCAAATTCACACCTTCAGGAACAGTAGTAGAATTAAATACAAGTTGTTTTGGCGCTGCCAGCTCCTCGCCCATCCGCTCGAAGAAGAAT